GCTTATTTTGCCCACAATGACACCAACTTTGGGGTTTATCTTGCCCACAATGACACCAACTTTGGGGCTTATTTTGCCCACAATGACAACAACTTTGGGGTTTATCTTGCCCACAATGACACCAACTTTGGGGCTTATTTTGCCTACAATGACACCAACTTTGGGGCTTATTTTATTCCCACTGATACTATATTTTATTCCCACATTATCTACAGAGTGCCCCCAGACCCTATTTTGTTCAAAACTTTGCAAACCATGTGATACCAACTTTATTGGACACACCCACTTTTTAATCACCTTGGCGGGCCCGGGGCACTTCAAGTTCTGTGGTCCCTCAACATAGAAATTAAATTACAGTATATGACAAATAAAGTGAACTGAAGTGAATGATAATCCACATTTGTTCTAAAAATGTTTCCGAAGAAGCTCAATTTTCTCAGTTATATTGACTGTAAGAATACGCATTACACAGGTGATTGGAACTGGCACGTCATACATCACAGTTACTCATCACACTACAATATTTACAAAAAGTCTTTCTTCCTGCACTGAGCATCTGCAAAATCTTTAACTAACTCATTAAACTGTATTATCTCGAGGACACTGCTCTTGACGGCCAGCAGGCACAGAATACTTACTGTACTTTCATGGGTCATTGTGGTTCTCAGATCATTTTTCATTAGTGCTAATGTGCTGAACCACCTTTCCCTGGAACAACTAGTGACTAGAGATGAGCGAATCGAACATGACGAAGTGGAATTCGTTTCGAAGATTAGGAAATATTCGATTCGCGACGAATCCGAAGATTAGGAAACTTCGGATGCACGAATCGAATTTTCCCAAAAATGGCGGCGGTGACATGTGTGGCGACGGAGCGGGGATCTCTGGGAAAGCGTGCAGACAAGGCGCGCTGACCCATAATGCATTCATTCATGACATGTGATCGCATTAGCCAATCAGCAGCCAGCCAGCCAGCACTGTGTAATGGTGGAGCTATAAATCGCGGCCATCTTAGAATTCTCCATTAGCCTCCGGTCATTCAAGAGAGACAGACCTCTCTGTATTAGGGACAGAGTTAGGGCCACAGAGACTTTAGGGACACAGAATTGTTACTCAGGGACACAGAATTGTTACTCAGGGACAGACACAGAATAGTTACTCAGGGACAGACACAAAATTGTTACTCAGGGACACAGAATTGTTACTCAGGGACAGACACAGAATTGTTACTGAGGGACACAGAATTGTTACTGAGGGACACAGAATTGTTACTCAGGGACACAGAATTGTTACTCAGGGACACAGAATCGTTGAATTAAAGAGTATGTCAGACAACACGCAGAGGAGTGGCAGAGGAGGCAATGTTTCAGGAGCGAGCAGACGTGGCAGCAGAGGAAGGGGTCGAGGCAGCACTAGTCGCAGCCAGAGGCCAGTGCTCCCGATGTCATCCAGCGGTCGTGTCTCCACCGACAACCCTGCCGTCATCGATTGGTTGGCTCGGTCGTTTTCCTCTTCCCAGGTCACCTCTGACACCTACAGCCAACGGTCGGTGGGTACGTCAGACACAACCGTTAGTTGGCATGGCCCGCTGAAATCACGTGTCCTCTACCTGCCCCTGTCCTTTGCTGTTCCCTCACCAAGCGAAGTATCGCATGCTGTGGGCTCAGCCCCACTGTACAGTGAGGAAGAGCAAACAGAGGGCGGTCAGGAACGGGGGGAGACATCCGCCTCTTCAGCAGCCAGGCGAAGAAGTAGTGGCGAGGAGAGTGGCTCGGTAGCCGGTCTAGAGACAGGTCTGTCTCCTGACCCACACGCAGCCGAGGGGGCTAGTAGTGAGGCGGAGACCCTAATTAATGATGATGAGGCTGATCGCACTTGGCAGCCTCGTCGTCATCAGGCTATTGCTTCCGCATCATCAGGAGAAGAGGGTGCCAGCTTGGCAGCGAGCAAAACAGTCGGTGGGTTGCCCAGGAGGCAGCAGGGTCGCAGCAGTGTCAGTGGAGGCAAACGGCCACGGAGTAGAGCACCAGCAGAACTGCAGCCTACCACCACGGCCAGTAGTGGTGCCGGTGTGCACGGAGGAAGTAGCAGTCAGCCAGTGAGGAGTAGCGGGGGCAAAGTTTCCTACTCGGCGGTGTGGCAATTTTTCGTCAAGCCGCCCGAGGAAGTAAACGTAGCCGTATGTCGACTATGTGGCCAGAAAGTCAAGCGTGGCCAGGGGGCCCATGTTGGGACTACAGCGTTGTGTCAGCATATGCAGCGTTGCCATTCGGTGGCCTGGGAAAACCGTGATAAAGATACGGCGGTTCTGCCTGCCCCAGCCCCCGCTCCATCACCCGCTCCGTTACTTGCTCCGTCACCCGACGTCAATCGCCCTCTATCAGCCAGTCAAGGCTCCAACACCTCTGCTGAGGGGAGTTGTCGCTCGTTGGCATCTTCCGCTCGTTCAGATGCTCCTTCTCCTGCTACTCCTCTTCACGGATTCCGTCAGCAGTCTTTCTTGGAATCCGTTTCCAAGAGACAACAGTTTGCGAGCACGCACCCGACGGTGCAGAAGCTGAACGTCCTCCTGTCCAAGTTGCTGGTGCTGCAGTCCCTCCCTTTCCAAGTGGTGGACTCAGCACCTTTCCGAGAAATGATGGCTTGTGCCGCGCCGCGGTGGAGAGTGCCAAGCCGTCATTTCTTTGCCAAAAAGGCAGTGCCAGCCCTGCATTCACATGTAGAAGACATGGTGGGCCAGTCTTTGAGCATGTCAGTCTCTGCCAAAGTGCACGGCAGCGCCGACGTGTGGAGCTGTAACTACGGTCAGGGACAGTACATGTCATTTACGGCCCACTGGGTGAACGTGGTGCCGGCACAGCCGCACCAGCAACTTGGACAGGTCACGTCGCTTTTGCCTCCACGTTTGCACGTCCTTGGTCCACAAAAGATGTCCGCCTCTACCACCTCTTCTTCCGCCGTGTCCTCAGCCGCCACCCCCCGTGCCAAGTCCCATTACCCGACCAGCATATCACATGTGCAGGGCGCAACGGTGTCACGCTGTGCTGCACCTGGTATGCCTTGGGGAACGTAGTCACACAGGGGAGGAACTTCTGAGTGTAATGAACAGAGAAATCGACAGATGGCTGTCTCCGCGCAAACTGAAAATCGGAACCATGTTGACCGACAACGGAAAGAACATGGTGTCTGCTCTGCGTCAAGGAAGGTTGTGCCATGCGCCATGCATGGCTCACGTGTTCAATCTGGTTGTCAAGCGGTTCCTAAAATCCACCATCCCACTGCAAGACATCCTTAAAATGTCACGTAAACTTTGCATGCATTTCAGCCATTCCTACACCGCAAAGCACACCCTCCTTGAGCTGCAGCGGCAGAACGGAATTCCACAGCATCGCCTGATCTGCGACGTTGCAACAAGGTGGATTCAACCCTACATATGTTAGACCGCCTTTACGAACAGCGAAAGGCCATCACCGATTTCCTGATGTTACAAGCGGATAAAGGTACTCCCCTGTGTAACTTAGATGTCAGCCATTGGCAGCTCATGCGTGACACCTGCCGCTTGCTCAGGCCCATTGAGGAGGCCATGCTATTCGTGAGTCGGCAGGACTATGGGATGAACGACGTCATTCCTCTGTTGCACGTCCTGGAACAAATGCTGTTAACAATGGCTGGTCAGGGTGCGGTAGACGTGGCGCACAGATCTCAACGCCACATGACCCCTGTGGGGGCAGGACAGGAAGAAGAGGAGGAGGTAGAGGAGGACATTGGTGCTCAGGAATTATTGAGTGAAATGGGTGGTTTTTCCACTCAGCGGACAGGAGTGGAGGAGCAGGAGCATCTGGTAGAGGAGGAGACAGAGGACCCAGACGCACCGTGGCAGTATGCTGTGGAGATGGAGGCAGGGAGTCCCTCGCATTCCTTGGCACAAATGGCCCATAGCATGCTCGGTTGCTTGCGTAGCGACAGCCGAATAATAATCCATCAGACAGAGGGATGACTTTTGGCTGTCCACCTTGTTGGACCCTCGCTACCGTTCAAAAATGGTGGCCTTTTTCACACCTGCTGAGAGGGAGGCCAAAATAACGTACTATAAAAACCACCTATGTAGTCAGTTGGTCTCTGCCTTTCTGCGCCAACGTCCATCCTCAGACACTGTGGGCCCTGTGCGCTCGCGTTCCGCTGCCATGGCAGCAGGGGAGTGGTGGGGTGGTAGGAGCAGTGGCAGCTCCACCAGCAGCGGCTGCCTCAGTCTGCAGTCGATGATGAGTAGCTTTCTTCACCAGCGCAGTGAGGAAACTACTAACCAGCCGCAGCAGCAGCATCAGGTGGACCTGGAGCAGGACCTCAAACAACAGGCTTGGGCCTACTTGGACAGCACCCTGCCAACCGAGGTAAACAATCCCCTTGACTACTGGGCAACGAAACTTGACCTTTGGCCCCAACTAGCTGAATTTGCCCTTGAAAGGCTGTCATGCCCGGCCAGTAGCGTGGCATCGGAGCGCGTGTTTAGTGCGGCAGGAGGTATTGTAACTCCGCGGAGGACACGACTGTCCACCCAAAGTGTGGAGAGACTCACGTTTGTGAAAATGAATCAGGCGTGGATTAGTCTGGATTTCAAACCACCAGTTCCTGACACAACTGACTAAATCCGCCATGAATCATGCCCCAAACATGTTATTATTTTTAACATAGGCCTCTGTATGGCCTTCAATTTAAGCTGCTTACGCTTCGCCACTCTGCCATGGGCCCCTGTACCGCCTCCTCTTGCTGCTGCCAGGTCCAGAGTGTGTCATGGGTCCCTGTACGGCCTCCCATTGCTGCTGTCTCCATCGCCACACTCTGCCATGTGCCACTTTCAGGTCTCCTCACACTGCTGGTGGGTTCCATTTTGTCATAGGGCGCTGGCAGATTACGGGCCTCCCATTGCTGCTGCCAGGCCCGTAATCTGCCATGGGCCCCCGTACCGACTCCTCATGCTGCTGCCAGGCCCGTAATCTGTCATGGGCCCCTGTACCGCCTCCTCATGCTGCTGCCAGGTCCAGAGTGTCTCATGGGTCCCTGTATGGCCTCCCATTGCTGCTGTCTCCATCGCCACACTCTGCCATGTGCCACTTTCAGGTCTCCTCACACTGCTGGTGGGTTCCATTTTGTCATAGGGTGCTGGCAGATTACGGGCCTCCCATTGCTGCTGCCAGGCCCGTAATCTGCCATGGGCCCCCGTACCGACTCCTCATGCTGCTGCCAGGCCCGTAATCTGTCATGGGCCCCTGTACCAACGCCTCCTCATGCTGCTGCCAGGTCCAGAGTGTCTCATGGGTCCCTGTACGGCCTTGCTGCTGTCTCCAGCGCCATCTGCTGTGCTGCTCAGGCCTGCGGTGGGTTCCATTTTGTCATAGGGTGCTGGCAGATTACGGGCCTCCCATTGCTGCTGCCAGGCCCGTAATCTGCCATGGGCCCCCGTACCGACTCCTCATGCTGCTGCCAGGCCCGTAATCTGTCATGGGCCCCTGTACCGCCTCCTCATGCTGCTGCCAGGTCCAGAGTGTGTCATGGGTCCCTGTACGGCCTCCCATTGCTGCTGTCTCCATCGCCACACTCTGCCATGTGCCACTTTCAGGTCTCCTCACACTGCTGGTGGGTTCCATTTTGTCATAGGGTGCTGTATGGCCTCCCATTGCTGCTGCCTCCACCGCCACACTGTGGCTCCACACTCTGGTTTTGGCCTCGTGACTGCCCAAATGAGTGAAGTGTGCGGTGATTCTAAGATCGACGGCACTCATCTGCATGTCATACTGACTGACAGTATTATTTCTCTTCCCCAGCAGACTCCAAGGGCATTTAAATTAAAGGTACAGTGTTCTGCACTAATATAAAGGCTCTCTGAAGCCTAGAAACACCCTTTTTATAAGTTAAATTCGCAGCGAATATATTCGCCTCGAATCGAATTTATTCCTCGAATTCGCCGAATCAGCCGAATCGAATTTTTGAATACTTCGCTCATCTCTACTAGTGACCATCATGCTCAAACATGTTCTAAGGGTCATGTACACTGCAACTGCTAATCTGATGTTCAGGAGCTTTTCTGCATTTCTTCAGCAGCCCCTGAACTCTCCCTAATGTTTTCCTATGTGTCCATGTACACTATGTCGTTTACAGGCAGTTGAGTTTACAGTAGTTTTTTTGAACGCACCAAACTTGCGTTCAGGAGTAGATTTTACCGGCATTTCAAACGCCAAATGCTTGTAAATGCGGTTAACCGCATTTATAAGCGTTTGCATTTAGAAGCGTTTTTTAACTGTTCCATATCCAGATGCTGCCCAGATCATTTTTTCATCATCAGAAATGCATGTACATCGTATTCAAATGAACCCGTACACCAGCGCAGTCAGTTCCAGGTTTCGCATAAAGGACAAAAATGGTAGAACGTGCTCCATTATGCTCATGATGGGATCCATAGTGAATACAACCAGAAAAGATGGGTAATCTCAACACATACTGATCACTCTGCTTCTGCTCTCTCTATTCCTCTCAAAATGTTTGAAATAGTTAATTTACTATTTTTCAGTGCATTCTGGGCATTTTGGAAGGTCTCCTGAGGATATCTTTTAAAAACGCTTCTATACACAAACGCTCATAAACGCGGTATGCAAACGCGGCTAAACTGATGTTTTTTAACCTACGTTTTCCAGCAGTCAGTTTCCATCACTCAGAAGAGTTTTCCAAATGACCCGTGAACATGAGCCCTAAGAGGTACATTAATACCTGGAAAGGTATCAGCAAGCCCTTCATCATGTAATAAAACCTGTTGAGATTGGGTGAGACCTGACCGGAGCTTGGCAAAAGCTGCAAACTGGACAATTTCCTCAGTGAATACACTATTGAAAATAAGATAAATTTTGTAATAGAGCAAGTCTGGGGCATCCTCTGGCAGGGGCCCCCTTATAAATCTGGCACTGAATCACCCCCCCCCCCCCCATGTGTACAGTGGGCAGCGTGCTTAGCATGCTGAATTTTGCTTCTTGTATCCTTCAAGATGTCCCTCCTCTTCTTTTTCAAATGTTGGTAAAAATGTACCAGTGAGTAGAGAGAGAAAGGGCAATGGGCCACACTGTACAGATGCAAAGAGCTAAGATTACAGTGTATGCTGCCAATAATCAGCAATAGTGCTTAGCTTACTGTGCCTGCAGTTCACACAGGCTTGCTTTGAAGTGGTTGTAAACCTCAAACATGAAATATGAACAAAGCACATCCCTCTATAGCAGGGGTGTCAAACACGCGGTCCTCCAGTTGTTGACAAACTACAAGTCCCATAAGGCATTGCAAAGCTAACAGTTACAAGCATGACTCCCAAAGACAGAGGCATAATGGGACTTGCAGTTTCACAACAGATGGAGGGCCACCAGTTTGACACCCCTGCTCTATAGTGTGTACTTATCTCATTTAAGAGCACTAAGTGTCATTTCTGTCTACGACTTTGTTCCTCTGCTATCAGCATGAATTATTTCTGAAGTTTTCATGACACCTAGAGAAAAATGTGACATGGACAGAGCTTCAGTTGATTGATAGCTTCAGCTCTGCTCCTGTGAGCTGTGTGGAGGGGGGTGTTGTTTCAAGTACAGGAATGAAGACAACACAAGCTGCTGGTGTGAGGAATCATGTTCTACAACAGAACTGCATCCAGGTCAGCATAGAACAGGAAGCAGGAAGTATAAGGCAATGCAGTATTACCATATGCAAGTAGGGTCACAGTATTTGCATAATAACTCTATAACATCTCCCTTTTTTACATTCAATTCAAACCTTGTAAACAATTAAACTAAAACAGATCCTGAACAGTCTTGAACATGGCATACTGTGTTACTGGTAGATACACTACAGATTGAGTCTATCTGGTGGTCTTGAAACTCAACCACTACGCAACGGCACAGGTATTTTGCCTGGGGAAATCCATTCAACTCCAGAAGGTGTTGATAAGGAGCTACCCTCTTTCCTGGATGGTGTGTTTGGCAGAGAAGAACTTGACAGGATATGTGGTTGCATTATGTCATCTTCATTGTATCCAGATATGACAGCAGAGTTCTCTCTGCTTTGGGTATATGGTCCAGTAGGACTCGGGGAATTGAGCACCTCAGGAGGATCATGTGCAGGATACTCATAGGCTTGTGCGGTGAATCGTTCTGCCCTTCGCAGGTCCACTCAATTGCGGCGGTGAAGACTGCCTTCTACATCCACAAGATATGATCGAGGAGCAACCCTCTGAACACAGGGACCCAGTCTCCAGCGATCAGTCCTGTCACCTGGAAGCGGCTTCATATGGATTGGATCCCCAATGCTTAGTTCAGGTAAGTCTTTAGCAGACACATCGTATGACAGTTTGGCAATCTGTTTCCTTCACTGCAGTTTTGCCGGGACACCTGTAACCACACAAGGATCAAGTAATTTGTTGGCCACAGGCAATGAAGTCTTCAGTCTCCTAGACATCAAGCGCTGTGCAGGACTACTGTCCATGCCTTCAGATGGGGTGATCCTCCAACATAGAATGGCCTTCCACGGATAAGTACCATCAAACTTGGCCTTCTTACAAAGATTCTTCACTATCTTGACAGCTGATTCCGCTTTGCCATTGGCTTGCGGCTGCCTCGGGGATGAGGTAACATGCTCAAATCCCCAATCTGTAGAGAACCATCTGAATTGCTCACATGCATATTGAGGTCCATTATCCAAGATTACTCTATCCGGCTGGCCATAACATACAAACTGTGCTTTACAACGCTTGATGTTAGTATCAGCAGACAGGTCAGGAAGTAGCTCAATCTCTAAAAAGTCGGAATAGTGATCAACAATTAGTAGAATATCCTGCCCAGCATAATTCAGTAAGTCCACGCTTACAATTTGCCAAGGCCGGTGGGCAGCACATGCGACATCATAGGTTCTTTCTGTTGTGCCTGCGCATATTCTTTGCATGCCGAGCAACAGCTAACAAAGTCTCTAATCTCGTTCTGCATGTTGGGCCAGTATAGGGTATCACGTGCTTGCCTATAGCATACTTCTCCACCAATGTGACTGGCATGAATACGAGTCAGCATCTCCGATCTTAAAGATTTAGGAATGATGACCCTTGGCCCCTTGTACAGTATACCATCTTGAATGTCGATTTCATCTCTGAAAATCCAATATTCTCTCACAAGCAATGGCACTTCCAACTTGGAATCAGGCCAACCATTCAGAACAACATATTTAAAAGCCTGCAAACTCTTTTCGGTTTCAGTGTGCTGTTATATCTGAAGCAATCGTTGGTCTGTGACGTTTAAATAGTCTGAATGATTAATCTGTGACAGGACATCCAGGTCCCGTTGAACATTGCAAACTGTGTATTGTACATACTCAGGTGTACAACCTGCTGCTGTAGCTCTAAGTGTGTCACTAATGTACATTTCAGGACCAGGTTTATAGACAACATTTAGGCAATAGTTTTGTAACGTGAGCAACATGCTCTGTAGACGTTTGGGTGCACACAAAAGTGGTTTCTTGAAAATAGAGATCAGAGGTTTATGGTCAGTTTCTGCCGTGATCTCGACGCGCCCATAGAGGTAGTGGTGAAAGCGCTGGCAGGCAAACACTATACTCAGACATTCCTTTTCTATTTTTGTGTAGATTTGCTCGGTAAGAGTCAGTGCCCTTGAAGCAAAAGCGATAGGCTGGCCAGCTTGCAATAGGCAACACCCAAGTCCAGTTTTGCTTGCATCACTTTGAATAGTTACAGGTTTTGTAACGTCATAGTACTTCAGGACAGGTGTGGCCGTGACCAAGCGTTTGATGTCCTGCACTGCATTATCATGCTTAGGAAGCCAGTGCCAAACAGCGTCCTTGTCCAGAAGCTTCTCAGGGGCTCGCAGACCTCTGAGAGGTGTGGTAGGAATTTTGCTAGGTAGGTAACAAATCCAATGAACCGCTGCAGGGATTTCACATTTGCTGGCTGTGGCATATCCAGTATGGCTCTGATTTTTTTCTGGGTCAGCCTTCAAACCCTTCCAGGTTAGAATGTGTCCATGAAAGCGAACCTCTTTGACCTTGAATTGCAGCTTTTTCATGCCAAGTCTCAATTTTACCTGCCTACAATGATTCATCAGTTCCAGCAGTTTGCCATCATGATCTTGCTCTGCTTCCTCATCTGTGTCCCCACAGCCAACCACAAGGATGTCATCAGCTATTGGTTCAATACCACTGAGTCCAGCCAATAGTTCATGTTGTTTACGTTGATACACCTCTGGTGCAACTGATACTCCAAAAGGCAGTTTGAGCCATTTTTTCCTGCCCCACGGAGTCCAGAAGGTTGTCATGTAACTACTTGCATCATCCAACTTACACAGTAAAAATGCATCCCGGGCATCAACAAGCGTGAACAGACGTGCCTTAGGCAGCTTGTACAAAACATCCTTGAGAGTTAGCATGATGTAGTGAGATCGTCTCAGTGCCATATTTAAGAATTTGGGATCTATGCATATTCGTAGCTTATTTGGCTTCCTTACAATCACCATGTTACTTATCCAGTCAGTTGGGTCAGTCACTGGTGCCAAGTGTCCATTGGCCTCATACAGATCAAGCTGTGCCTTAACTGCCTGTTTTAATGCCACCGGCACATTGCATGGTGCACATTGGACTGGAGGGACACTTACATCAAGGTCAAAATGAACTTCCCCTGGTACAGATTCTACTGGCCCAGTAAACACATCACTAAATTCCTTTAGCAGCAGTTGTTTTGTCAAGGGCCCTTGATGCTCACAGGTTGAGCCAGACAACAGTGGCTTTTGGCAGGCTTCCACAATTTCAAAATCCAGCTTGTGTGTTAGTCCACGTATGGCACATTCTGTCT